TATACAAGAGAGAGAGAGAGAGAGAGAGAGAGAGAGAGAGAGAGAGAGAGATCCCGTCTGAGGGAGCAAATCATGCGGTTACATCAACAGCGCATCGAGAATAGAGAGGAGGCCCACCGCGAGCTGCAAAAGCTCCGAGCGAGTTATACCACCTGGGAGGAGCCAAGGGGGTGTCGCGATGCTGAGCTCCTGGTGATGAATCACAGGGACGAAATACCTAAAATAAGGATTCCTGGCGTCGATGGAGGAGGTCTACCTGACATCTATAGGCCCCCATTCCAGCGGAGGGAAAAGAGATTAGACGACGCGCTGGGCGTGATCACAGAGAGACTGGCGACTCCGCCCCCACCTCCAAAGGTACGTAAGCCGCTGCGAAAGACAGGGGACTCGTCCTGTGTCAGAATGACAATCGAGGAGAACTTGCTCGATAGGATAGACGTTTAGAGTGCTGAAAAGATATGGCATTGAGTCGAAGTCGCCCGTTGATGTCAAAGAGGCGAAAGGGATGGCCCTCAAAGGTAAGAAAGCCAATACGTGAGCTCCTGAAAGGAATCCTCCCCCTTCCGCCACAACTGCGGGGAAGCAGGATCAGTGCTACAAATGCCTGGGGATGGGACACGTGAGAGCGAATTGTGATAGTAGCATAAACCGCACTGGGTGCTGCTACCAGTGCAGATGGTAGAGGCACACAACACCTGAGTGCCAGGTTCCTGCCAACTGCCCCGCCTGCGCGGCGGCCGAAAAGCCGGCTCAACGTCGAATCGGCATTGGCGTCGAATGCGTGGCGAGTAAGAGGAAACGTGGCAAGGGGAGGGCGGAGACCCCCGCAAGCAGGTCCATCCTCCACACCACCCTCCAAGCTGCCTAGGAAGACACCGTTGAGCTCGAATGCTAAGGCGGGGACATTGCCCCCGAGCCAGCCAGGAGCAACGAGCTCGATCACCAGTGTACCGACCAAGGACGCAAATGGAGGTGTGCCTGAAGGAGGCTAAAAAGCCGTAGCACACACGGCGACACGCCTTTTTCAGACGAACCTGAATCACTCTCGCTCCGCGCAGGACATGCTCCTCCATACGATGAACGAGAGTGATTCAAGATTAGCAGTAGCCATGGACTCATACAATGTCCCTGATACTGAGCGTTGATTAGGGGACGAGAGTGTCCACTGTCATCGTCTGGCGTCCCACGGCCGGCTCCCTACCGCCCTCCTGCATCGAGCGCGGGAGTTTTTTTCCTAGCGGAGTGGGAATCCATATATGTGTTAGCGTGCTATTTCCGACCGCAGCTCCACCTATGGGAATACGATGCTATGCTTCAAATTCTCACTGCGGTCGTAGGGAGGCGCTTTCTTCGCCCGATCCTTGTAGCGGGGAAGGACTTCGACGCTCGGTGAGCTGGGGGTCTCTCCGCACAAATGGCAAGGGTCGTGCGACCGAAAAATGGGCGGGGACTCTCGGCTTCTCATTGCTCAATATACAGAGTTGCAGCATCTTTGTCGGCGGTCGCGGAGTGTCCATTATGGACTTGACGTGGATCACGTCCAGCGCGACCGATAGGGTGTCTGACTGGATGGTCGACCCGCGGCTCCTGGCCGAGCAGTCGGATCATGTCTGTATCGCGATGACGATCCGGGCTGCTGCTGGCCCCAGAGGCCGAGAGGCGTAAGATGGTGTGGGATGCCAAATATCCGCGTCGGGCACTTTGCAAGCTCAATGCGGATGTGTTACAGGCGATGGCAATAGCCCTGACATGGGTACAGTCCCCTCTGGATATGGAAGTGAGCGAGGAGGCAGCACGAATCTGCGACATCATGACTCGCGCCTTAGATGCATCGATGCCGTGATGCCGCAAAACGCCAATTCGTTTCGCGTACTGGTGGTCGTCGGAGATTGCTGCCCTTCGTACGACAGCTGTGAGGGCCCGACGACGCCTTACGCGAGCGAGGTGTAAAGAAGACGACGTAATGTTGGCGGCTGCGAGAGCTTCGCTGGGAGAGGCGAGGAAGGCTCTCCGCATGGCCATGCGGAAGACCAAGGCTCAGCGCTGGCAGGACCTAGCCTCGGACCTGGACGCCAATCCGTGGGGGCTTCCGCATACAATAGTGACGAGCAGAACGCGCCCATGGACGCGCCCTCGCTGGCAGAAAGGATGGACCCCCAATTCCTTGACTATGTGGTGGACACGTTGTTCCCCACACGAGACACGGGCATCGGAGCCTACGTTGTCCCGCCAGCAAGATGGTCTGAGGAGATAGGGGTCAGCGAGGACGAGACGGTCCAAGTGTACCGTCTCAGAGGTAATCCGAAAGCCTCTGGTCCGAACGGCATACACGGACGTGTCTAAGCCTTGGTCTTTAGAAAAATGGGTGGTTGTCTGAGGCAGCTGTTTACCAGCTGCCTCAGAAAGGGTTGTTTCCCGCTAGTCTGGAAGAGGGCCAATCTGGTCCTCCTCCGCAAAGAAGGCAGGAGTCTCCCTCTGCCTACTATCCCATATATCTGCTAAACGATGCGGGCAAGATGCTGGAACGCATCGTTGCCCAGCGCATCGTCCAGCACCTATGCCGGGAGGGCCTCGATCTACACCCGGGGCAGTGCGAATTCCGAGAGGGACGCTCAACCGTCGGCGTCATCCAACAGATGCGGGTCCTTACGGGATCCGTGGTGGGGGAGGTATCTGTGGTATCATCAATACCTTCAACACCCTCCTCTGAAACCGGATGGTCGGTGCCCTCGCCTATTATAGCTTGCCCGACTACCTGGTCACCATGATCGAGAATTACTTTCGGCACAGAAAGCTGATCTATCGAGACAGGGATAGTAGGGTGTGCGAGAGGGAGTTGTCGTGCGGTGTCCCGAAAGGGTCGATGTTAAGCCCCCTCCTATGGGATATTGCATACGACGTGGTACTCCGCTATGCCCCCAGCGGGAGGTGTTAAGTCCTCCCGTTGGGGTGTCACGCTGTGTGTAACGCGGATGACACTCTAGTCATCGCGAGGGCGAGGGGAGGCGAAACTGAAGGGATGCAACCCATGCCGCCAATGTTGCAGTGGAAATCGTGGTCGGTTCCGTAAGAGCTCGGGCTGAAGGTGGCCTCAGAAGACGGAAGCAATCTTCGTCTACAACAGTAGGCGGAGACCGCCGCCTCCGGCGACAATCCAGGTGGGGACAACGACGGTGCAGGTGGGGCTCCCAGATGAAATATCTGGGCCTCACCATTGACGGTCTTTGGGAGTTCAGCGCTCATTTCGAGTGGCTGACAGGTTGGGCAAGTTGGCTGATGCTTTGGCTGGCATCATGCCCAACCTCTACGGCCCTGCAGTGCTATTCTCTAATTTTGTAACGATAACATCGTTATCATTATGTAGCGACGATGATCGTTTGCGTAAACGACACTGTAACGAAAATGCTATTCGTAATATGTAACTTTGGTTAACGATACGATGTCGATACAAAAACGTGATTCCGACGTCGTTACAGAACGGTATATCCGAATTGATATAATTCAGTCACTGTTCTTCTTAACCAATCATATCGCTTCTGTAATGAATGTTTTTGATAAATTGAGGAACACTTGAATTTATTACAATGTGACCGCGGGAGCTTATTGTGTTTTTGGAGATTTCAAGATAGTTATTCTTGTTGATGCTGTACGTAAATTGTGCTTGATTTGGGTGAAAAATAAGTATTGCAAGAGATTTATATAAAATTACAATGAGTAATAATACAGCGTAAGTATAATACTTTAAGACTTAAATATAATTTAAGATATTTGTACATTCATATATATAGATATAGGTAAATAAAAAATATTACAAAAATAAATTATTAATTAGCTAACGAATTTTTATGAAAGGTATTGGATATTTA